TACATGTACAATAAGATAATGTAAAAAGTCCACAGCTAAATCAATTAGTCGATCTCTAATCACCACACCACTATAACTTTATTTGTCTTTTTTTTTATACCAATGAATTCGTCTTGTAATTATATTTGTTTCAAATATCTGTCAATAGATATCAACTAGGTATATCATACCATTTTTTTTTTTTTTTTTTAGATGTGAACATAATTTTAAAAAAACTTTTCCGGTAATATAACAACACTCTAGTTCCTGTCGGGTATAACTTTAATAACTTTTTAAATCCAAAAATGTCAAACATTTTTTCGAATATTTTAATCGTGTTATTTATGTTTAATGTAGAACCAAAACTTATAACAAAAATATACTTACTAAATATCATTTAATAATTCGACACAACTTGCCGTTTTATTAATAATTCATACTGATTACGTTTTAATTATAAGTACACTAAATGCAGGGATTAAAAGGACATTCTCAAGCGTCCCCGGAAATAAATACTTACTGAGATGGTGTGCATAATTTCGTCAGTTATCTTTTATTCTTTCCGTGGAAAAGTATGAAATTGTTATAACCAGAAAATTATATTTTTTTAATAAAATATATTATCCCGTGCGTATTTTTATTTCGTCATTATTTAAAACATTAACCGACGAATTTTTAGTTGCATTCTAAAATCAGTCGTTCATCAGCGACTGCGAACAGAATAAAGCTATTGTCTAGAAAAACGATTTATAAAACGTATTTTCTACCTCGAAGATTATAAAAAATTCTCGGATTGAAAACCCATGTAGATATATGAAACGCACTAGACGTTTTATTTTTGTTTTTTTTTATTAATTCGATAAAATTCGTGTTTTTAAGAAACCATCAATCCGGGGTACGAAATCGTAGTAATCGATTATAGAACCGCGGTAGCGACCCACGATCGTTTGACAAACAAAAAAAAAAAAAAAACCAACCACCGTTGCACAATAAAAATCGGACGAAATATATCAGCAAATTCCAATTGTCAATCTCGCCGGCGCAATCGATGTCTCGTGGGGCGGATGACACCACAGAGCAGCCATCCAAGTGTACAACAAATAATAGAATACAACGTTCGATTGGTGCACGCGAATAATATGAAAACCAAATCGATTTATTTAACATAAAAACGACAAACGATAAACTGTTCGGTTTTTCGCAGTCACTTTTCAAAACCGCCGTTTTTATAACATTATTAAACAAATTCTTAACGTCGTTATTTCGATTTTTATTGTTCAACGACTCGCGGGCGCGTTGGATTCCAGCGTTGTACAACCGCTAGCCGAAGTGGTTGCTGAAGGTACAGAACAGGGCAGTGTTGATGAATTAAAAAAGTTGAAATTATTTTACTTTTAATTGGTTAATTCGAGTTACGTAACGAGTTTTTTTCTCTCCCTCTCTTTCTTACTTTCCCATCTGCACCATTATAACTTATCGAGTGGTATTGCGTTTAGAATTATGTGGCTTTTATTCGATTAACTAGTTTTCTGGTCGCATTAAAGCAATTCTCGTCTACAGAAAAAAATACCGATTTCGAGAAAAAAAACCGAACGAAAATAATATTCATATCGCCAATACTCGTTGTAATTGTAGACTGATAAGATTTATTTAACCGTTAAATAAACGTTCGCGTGCACAACAATTACGCGTGTGGATAGTTTTGCATCGTACACTTCATATGCATACACACAGGGCTTATTCTAAAGAGCATTTGGGCTCATTTTGCATATTTGGAAAAGCTAGATGCGCACTTGATAATAAACTTTTGCGTAATGATGCGTTTATGATTTATAGTCGTAGGTGATAATAAGATATGATAGCAAATAATAGTTACTATGTTATATGTTATTACAATATGAAAATTAATATGTTGATTAAAAAAAAATATGGGAAACTGAAATAAAAATTAAAAAAAAAACGTTCCAATAATATTAAATAATGATATGTTGTACAGTGTTATATTATACATTGCATTATGATTTATGAAGAAAGTAAACAGGACATTTATTAAAAAAAAATACTTTGAACACAAATGTATATTGTTTTATGTCTTTTTAATATGTTACATTTTAAATTACTTTACCTAAAAGCTACAAATTTGATCATTTTTAACTATAATTTGACGGTATATTTTGAAATCATAGTTCTATTTTGATAGGCTTATTTAAACAAAGTGCGAAGTTGATAAATATCCTTAGAATAAGCCCTGCGTATACACACGTCTACGTGTTGCAAATTGAATAATACCTACGCGTATAACATAATAGTTCTACATATTTACAACCCGAATCGATAAATATTATCAATTTATCAGATATGTGTACGTGTTACAGTTTTATCTGAATAAATTATGTACAAGAGAACTAACAAGAGGTACGAATAAATATAATAAGTTCAAATGAAAAAAAAAAAATTATATCGTTGTAAAATCAATATTAGAATGTTCATTGTATTATCAAAAATTAAAAAATATTAATAAAATAATCGATATTTGACCCTTAACCAATTTCAGTTACTTTTTTCCGTTTTACTTATAACTCGTTCGTTTTAATTAAACAATAGTAATCCACAATCGTCCAGACAAATTTAATTTAACGAATTACATTTCAATTGATTTCCCTATCCTTAGTTGGTTGGTTAGCGGTTGTAGAACAAAATATTGTTATTATAAACTGTAGTATTCTACTCCGAGCAACACGAGTGTCAATGTTCGATATAATCGTTTCCAAATATTATTAGTGTTACAATTACATTCGATAATTCATCACTGGATTTGCAGATTTTATTTTTCGTTCATGAAACTTATTCTGTTGATTTTCAAACATTTATTTCCCCACAAAAGACTTGATAACTATTTATAGATGATTTAATAAGCTTTGGAAGGAATATAACGAAAGTATTTTAATTGCCCGTGACAATTTCGATACAGTACCAATTTTTTCATTGACCTGAAGAAAACACTTTGTTTATTCAATACTTTTTACTAAACAGTTACTTTACGGCTACTATTATAAAATACTTTACACGAGACGGGTGTGAACTTTCACTTTTTTATTTTTATTGTATTATGTTCGAAAGCTATAATTAAGAAAATTACCACGTACATTGCAATTAAAGTTTCCCGTAAAACAAATAAATTTAGCGACAAACCAATTAATTTTAATAGTTGTTATTATAATGATATAATAATAATAAATAATAATGCCTTTTATTATTGTAGTTATATGACTATAATTACTGTTTTTTAATGATTATTTAATGTTATCGTATTTATATTATCATTACAACTATTTTTCAGTATAATGCTCTAGAATAGCTCGAGTGGTATACGCTCGTAAATAGGTAGGTACACTTAAATAATAAAAAATGCCATAAATAATTCGATCGGTATCGCGTACGATGGCCGGAACGTTTTACCGGAATCCAACGCATTTCAGTGTAAGGAAAACCGATCGTAAACAAAATCCTGTATATGCGCGATACACATCGTTAATAACGTCGTACACGTTTGCCGGTCTCGAATAGTCTGAAAAATCGCGAGTGCCGATTATTGTAGATAAATTTAACGGTGGGGGGGGGGGCTTGAACAGTTAGCTTATCCGTAAGAAAAAGAAAAAAAAACGTTATTCTTCTAAACGTGTTACAACTTCACATCGCACATAGGACGTATAAAAAATAATTTTCTAATTAAAATTACGTTATTCCTTTTGCTAACAGCTCACGTATGCCGTGTGTAATTGGTAAACATTTCGATGACAGTAGAATTATTTAAATAGGTCTTTTTGAACGTGTTTTTTAACATTCAATTCTGTTTTAACTAAGTTCGAAGAACGAAAAACGTGCAAGACTGTGCCGTATATTGTTCGAGTGTAACGTCCCTTCGGGTTCCCACGTCAAATGCTACGGTACTGAACATGAGAAAACCACAAACGGTTCTATAACCGTGGTATTTTGTATATTTCTGAAAAATTATATTTTCTTTCAAACTTAGTTTTGATAAAAATAATCATCGGAAATTGTTTTTGAAATTATTGTTACAGCTATTAAAGTTCTGCGACGGTACATCGATAGGATAAATCATTATCGAATGTGACAAACCCTTCATTTTATGGCCAAGAAGAATAAAAACCCTTCGCGTATTTCAACATATCCGTTTGCACTATACATCCGCGACTAGAAAACGATCAAACGTATAATATTTTATGTTGCGTTCGTGCAGTCGTAAAACACATTTTCAATCCGTGAATTACGATTTTTTTCGAGAAACATTTTCTGAACCACAAAAGAAAAAAAATATATATACAAATAAAAATAAAAAAAAAAAATTGAAAATAACAATGCCCTGAGGAACACGATCACACTATCATTCGTGATATCGTCCATTTTTCCGTGAACTTTACAGCCTATTTATTTATTTATCATATTTTTTTTTATTATTCTATTTTGTCCATCCGGAAAAAATATTGAAATTACGCTTTTTTTTTTTTTTTTATTCAACACATATCGAGAACAAAACCGGCGAATAATGTTCAAAATATATTACGTATAGTCTGTCTTCAAAACGCGATTATCAAACGACAGGTGCTACGGTGGAACTATTACGTTGTGTGATTTAAGCAATAAAAATCACTCACAATTTAATTTAATTAAAATAGACACTATATTATATAAATATGTACGTACAAATATCGATACGCGTTACAATTGCGGAGGAATTGCCGAATATATCGCGGAGTGTAATTCACAGTGTGTCGCGGATTGTACTCACGGACTGATTGAATGAGCGTCTGACCAGCCGGTATATATATATATATCGACGTCGATTGTCTAGAACATTCTCGAAATTACCTTAACGAGATAATCATCGCATATTCTAAAACATGGGATTTCCCCTTATCCACTGACAATATTGCAAACAATTTGGACGATTGGCGGTGCGTTGTTTACGTCATCACATCACTCCCCTGCCAGTGTCGGAGTCAAGCATAACCTACTTGGAGACGGTCTGGAAAACGAACTCTTCTTCCGGAACGTGTCCTTTGATACTCCTTTGTAATGATATTCGGTGTAGGTGTCTGAATTTTTCTCGAAATATGTTCCTTAGAATGGTCGTCTACTATGATGTAGGCCGGTTTAAGTCTATCAATAGTTACTCTAACTTTTTTCTTCTTTATATCAATGACAAAAGTTTTTTTATTTCGACTTATGACTCTATAGGGACCATCATAGGGCATTTATATTCCATTATTGGGTCCGTAATGTCGAATGAATACGTACTCTGTGGTTGCAAGGTCCTTGAAAACAATTTTTTTCTTCTCGCCATGTCGTGTACTATTGACAGGTCGGATCTGCTGAATGTGATGTCCAAGATCTTTGATAAACTCAGCTGCGTCGTCGAACTTGGCAGCATTATCTTTTGACGTTAGGAATTCACCAGGGAGTCTAAGTGGCTCTCCATAGACTAATTCTGCAGAGGTGGATTTAAGATCGTCGCGCCAAGCTGCTCGGATGCCCAATAAGACTGTCGGAAGAGTTTCTGTCCATCGATTATTTTGATGACATTTAATGGCGGCTTTAAGCTGCCGATGGCTCGTTCCACCATGCCATTTGCTGACGGATGATAGGCCGTGGTTCTAAGATGGTTCGTGCCAGTCAAGTTATTAAGTTGCTTGAAAAGGCATGACTCAAATTGTCTTCCCTGATCTGTTGTGATACGAAGAGGGGTACCAAATCTTGCGATCCAATGCGTATAGAAAGTTCGTGCTACGGTTGCCGCTTCTTGATATTCCAATAGAATTACCTCAGGCCATCGAGTATATCTATCGATACACGTGAGGTAATATCGAAATCCTTCAGAATAAGGCATAATGATTAGATCTAAATGAACATGTTCAAATCTTTGAGACGGAAAATGAACTAAGAGGTGCTGTGCCATGGTGCGTGATTTTGGCTCGTTGACATTCTACACATGCCCTCGCCCATTGTCTGCAATCTGCGTCAATTGCTGGCCACACGAATCGCTGTTTAACAAGCTTCGTCGTGGCCTTGACACCTGGATGTGCAAGGCGATGTATATTATTGAAAACTTTACGTCGGAATGGCTTTGTGACAAAAGGCCTGGCGGTTGAAGTTGATACGTCACAGAACACTAAGACATTTTTACCTGGTAATTGAACTTGCTTGAGTTGTAGTCCAGTGTTTTCTTTTTCGTATTTTTTTAATTCATCGTCTCCCTGTTGTGATATCGCTAATGCAGTGTAGTCTATTGTATCTGACAAGGCGTCAACGCGAGATAAGGTATCAGCCACGACATTCTGCTTACCTGGAACATACCTAATATCCGTGGTGAATTGTGAGATAAAGTCTAGGTGTCTGAATTGTCGTGGTGTGCATTTATCCGATTTCTGCTGAAATGCAAAAGTGATGGGTTTGTGATCAGTGAATATAACCAAATCGCGTCCTTCCACCATATACTGAAAATGCTTGACAGCAAGGTGGATTGCGAGAAGTTCTCGATCGTAGGCTCCGTATTTCGTCTCGGTCGCTGTGAGCTTCTTGGAAAAGAAGGCAAGAGGTTGCCACTCATCATTGATGAACTGTTGGAGAGTTGCGCCAACCATGGTGTTTGAAGCATCGCTTACAATAGCCAGTCAAGCGTTGTCGCATGGATGTGCGAGAAGCGTGGCTGTGGCGAGTTTCTCCTTGCATTTTTCAAAAGCCGAAATAGCCTCTGGTGTCCAGTTAATAGGTGACTTACCTTTTAAATTGGGTACCAAAAGATCACTTAGTGGTGCTTGTCCACTGACAATATTGTAAACAACTTGGACGATTGGCGTTGCGTTGTTTACGTCACCACAACGTCATATTGTAAACACCTAATGCGGATTTCAAACAAAAATAAAGTGAATATTTTGCGATTCGATCGACGAAACGTCGTTCGATAAATTTCACGGAATACTTTGTAGTACTTACTACGTCATACCATGTTCGAATAAGTTTTTTTTTTTTTTAAATTGTTCGTAAAATATAATACGGTTCAAACAATCTTACTGTTTTTCACGTCGGACCACGTAGAAATACGATTATAATAATCGACAAGACATCGTTTATTTATGAACGATAATAACCGGTGTTAAAATCATCATTTTGTGGAAGAATTGATTTACACCGTAAGAATACAAAAAAACAAAAAATGTTTGAAATCCGTACATCAATACGAATGTTAAAATTATTCGCTCGTGCCGAGAAAATCGAAGCCGAGATGTATGCGATCCGCAACATTTTCCCTGTCGAACTCGGATCGTGTTCATGGTGAACAGGGACGGGGTATTGAAAAACACATTTTCGTCTTTCGGACCAGTCCGCGATAACTTTTACCGATGCGAACGGAACGTACTGAATGCGTAGGCGTACGTAACAATTCACAACATACCGCGTACATGTTGATGTGAACAGAAACGTAGTGAAATTTAGCAGGGCCTGGAATGACTTGAATCATGGAATCTATACAGTAGCGAACCGGGGGTGGTTATGAGGTTAACATAAAAGAGCAACGGACGTTTGAGGCCATCAAAAGTTTGGGGCATGGGGAAAAATAGTCCCCATACCCCCCCGTTCTTTTTAGACGGCCCTGGATGTGAAACGCTGCGTCCGCCGGGAACGTTTGCGTACAACTCAGTCCAACAGTACACACTGCGATGCGGACGTATTGTTAATCGTTTTAGGATGACCCGACGAAAAAAAAAATTGGTTCCCGTAGTCTATTAGCATTTCGGTTATTTTATCCTTCCGCTCGTAACATTGTACATCTCGAAAAGTAAATAAAACGTTCATGGGCGCCCGTGGGGGGGGGCAAAGGGGCCATTGCCCCTACTCAAAACTATTGTTAATTTAATACGACGCATATTAATTATAACATAATTTTATTGAGATCCATTGATGAAGTTTAATAAAATTTATTATACTTTTAGATATTTTAAAATATATAATCTTGAACGTATATATTTGCTTACAATGTTTACACGTGACTGCATATCGCTTAAGACTATAAATTCTCCCGAGAACCGTTTTCTATGGTATTTGATTTTGTTCTCATATATTTTTAGATACACGTTGTGACCCTTAGAATTTTAATCTTGCCCCGGGTAGGATTTTATCCTGTGGGCGCGCTTGAAAACGTTACGTTTGTCGTTTTGGTTTGAGAAGAAGAAAAAATGTGAACACGGGAAAACATCACCGGCGAGACGATAGGCGTAAAATGTAGCTAAAAATGTTTTTTTTACAGATGCATTTATGCACACACGTTGCAGCTCATCGCAGGCACGTATCGTGTACCCATATCGGACGAACCGCGTTCGGTAAAATATTAACACATTTCGAGTGCAACGCTATCGGTTTCGATGGCATTTTTAACAACACCGGAGAAAATCGACGTCCCGAGCGAACGCTCGTAAATGTTTAATGTGGATTTATCGACCGCGCATATAATTATTTACCACGGACGACCGTGGCGACTTGTAAGTATGAAATATTAAAGAACTTTCGCGAGACGTTCTCATTCGAGTCTAAAGGAAATCCTAAGCGACGAAACTTTGCCCTCGTCCACGTTACGTAGTGTTAATGTTTACAATGTCTCGGGAGAGTGGCTCGTTTCGATTTCTATGCAGAGCTCATTGGATTTTATCCGGGAAAATGTATTTCGATGAATATGAAATTACCGCGACCGCGGCCTTTGTTCGTGACACCGATGTTCTCGGGACGAATCCGTCTCCTCTCCCATTACGTTACGTCTTACATTATTGCTGTTCGCAGTGAACAATACGCGGTGATTGCTAGTCCGACTGGCTGCGGTTACCCAAAATAGATAAATTTGTCGACGTATCGCCGTTTCTACCAAACGTGTGTGTTGGACATTACGTTATCGAATAACGTTCGCGACAAAATAGTGGTATCTTCCGGCGTTCTCGATTTCAATGTTCGCCCGTACTTCCGTACAATTAAACGCGGTCGAATCGAATTATTTCCTTTTCGTCGCGACGGCTGGTACTGCGCGGTATAAATTATTACAACGTTATTGTCAATTAGTCTAGAAAAACCACCCTAAGCAACTTGTCGGATGGGTCGGATACTAAACATGGATCACTTCGATAAAACAAATTAACAGATTAAACCAAACGACATGGGTACACAACACGATAAATCGAAACTTCGATTCACTGTTTTTTATTTTTTTTTTATTTTTAAATTAAATTTAAATTACATATCCAATGTATATTGCACATTTATTCTTGTACAGACACACACATGTATCCATGTTCATAAAATGCGCACATGGTTACATTTATTCGTAAATTAATACATGTTAAATTACAATATTTCGATCCTCTCGTTATAATTAATAGTACACGTGCAAGCGTATATTATGATATGAAACGTGCGATGTAAACAAATTAATATAATCGATTATCGTTTAGAAAACTAAAAATAAATTCGTTTTAATAAAAAAAGAGTAAACAAATTAATATCTACGTTAAGACATGGTAAAACGTTAATGTTATACAGCCTACACATAGCACACTTAAAAATAAAATTAAATATTACAGTGGTTTCTTTTAATACATTTTTTTACATACGTCGGGCCACACAAGAAATTAAATGTTTGAACTAATACACATGACCAAAGTACCTATAATCAATGGTGTATTTTCGAGGGTCCCGGATCTCGACTCCTCCCCCCTCCAGAGGAAAAAAGGAGGTTTAAAATTCATAAAAGACGTGCTATAAAGGTAAAGAGGACGAGAAAAATAATTTATGTCATGTGGTTGTAATGTTTGTATAAAAATATTTATATAATAATATAATTATTAACTTGTATCTTATGTGTATTTATTATATGATATTACAAAACCACTTATTTTGTAGAAAAATTTTAAACCTCCCTACAAAAAATTTGAAATTACTCAACTGTCTATGATAATTTAAAAGTATACATCGTTATCGAATTACATATTTTATTATTGAGAATTACAGAAACACAGGTTTTTTTTATACAATTCGATAAATGTGTAAACAGTAATCACGTTATAAAAAATTAAACAATCAGTTTTTCTGCAATACATCTCTAACGTAATATGAGATAATATGAGATTCGAAACAAATTGCTTGAGAACAAATATTGATTTGAAATATAAATTTGAAGGTCACGCGTAATAATAATAATAATTATTATTAATATTATATTATTTTATGCATTTATTTCAATGTAGATACAATGAAATATTATATATTGGTTGTTTCGGATGACTATCGTATTTTTAATTTGTTATGTTTTTTAATTATTTTCTCAACTGTCTTGTGGTTCAAGTAGATATTTTTCGGCATAGAAATTAACATATTACATGATTTATGTTCGAAAAGAGTTCAAGTTCATCGACTGAAATGAAGAATTCTTTCGTATTATATCGATTAATTATTTTCATTACCACCCGAACTCGACATTACGATTATAGCACGCATATTTTTGGTAAATTTGTACTTTTGCATAAAAAATAAATTATACTATTTTAAATTAATTTATATTTGGTCTGTGACAATCTAACACCGTCCATAGGGTATAGAATCTATACCATAGATAAATATACTTTAGATAAACCCTAAATTATGAAAATGGAATTTCGCGCGGATATTTCCAACGTCCGATTCAGTGGTCACGATTTACAAAATAATTTATTTTCATGAAACGGTCATATTTTTTTTGTTAATTTATTTTTTATTTTTGTATATGATTTGATTTAAAGGATTTGAAATTGCATATTTAATGTTTTCCTTTCCGGTAGGTAATACAAACGAATTATAAATGAGGCCGCGACGAGTGCCCTAGAAATTAAATATTAAAAAAAGTAATTTATCATGGTTTACAGTCAATCTTAAATGTCCTGCAAAACTTCCCACTCGATAAAAATCCCCTAAACGGATAGTTGGATGTTAATCGAATCGTGTTTTAATTTTATTTTCACAACACGCGCAACGACGTTATGACCCTTTTGATGAGAAATATTGTTATGCAGTACATGAAGTATTCGACTATGTCCAAAATCCAAAACAAGGCCGATCCGTCGTCATCCGAGTAGGTAGGTATTAGTCTGAAACAGAGGAAATAAACAATAATCAAATAGACTATGTTTAACGAAAATTATCCAAAAACAATTTTACATGGATATTGGTAAAATGTTAAAACGGTTTTGTACACGGTTTAAAATATCGAGAAAATTGTTCGAAAACAGGCCAACAGTTTTACAAAAACGGTTATTGTTAAAATAATTATGTTTACAATATTATTCATGTGATAATTTTATGTATTTTAACACAGCAGTGTTGGTTTAACATCCGTAAATCGATAATTTCTAATCCAACGGCAATTTAGTGAAGTATTATAATTAATTACGCATATATTTTAAAGACATTTTCACAATCGGGTATTAATTCTCTACTCTACTTGAGTGGTATTTCTTGGATTTGAATTTTAAAAAACAACCATTGCGAAATAAATATACGATTAAAATTTTTTTTTATCTTTTCATCAGCTTCGGGGACGAGGCTATTAACTCTAAAAGTTACATTTACAAATTGTTTATACGTTTGCATTTTATATGGGTTACAAATGTTTTTTTCTTTTTTTTAATAGATGTTTATTCCAGCACATGTTGTCACTGAATTATTACATTTATAGTACATAAATTATTAGAGAAAACGACTGAATAAATGTTGTTTAACATTTATTACATTTATAACTGTCATCACATTTGTCCTAATAGATAGTTATTATCATCACAGATAAAATACATATAATTATTAAGTATGTTTTTATTTATACTGTAGTTGGATAAATTTATGATTTTTCTCGATCATAACTATTTAAAATTAATCAAGTTTACATCGCACAGTATACTCATTCAAATACGTTATGTTTTTCGATGCGCTTAATAACGTAAACTAGTTTTGAATAAACTATTCTATCAATTTAAAATTTTTCAAACGTACTGGATGACAATGAATAATTGAGCATGTAACTATTATTCGTTTTCGGATTGATTAATTTTTATAAAGATTAAAATATTAGTTAACTATTTAGTTAGTTATATGTCACTAGTGATAGAGTAGTTATCATGACCAAATTATATCTACCAAATATGTATTAAGCAAATTAAATTTTTTTAATTTTCCAGTACTGGAAGAACAGTCATTTTTACAGGCAAAAAAAAAAAATCCCCAATGGCGATGAGTTCGAGCAAGAAATTTATTATGATGTCGAAATAAAGCACATTTTTCGCGACACAAATGCATTATGTTAAGTTTTATTTTTTTTATTTTTATTTTTTTTACAGTGTGTTTGGTTAAAAGTAATAAGAGATATTTTTGTTTGATGCGGACTATTAATTCGAACAGGGTTACTATTTTTCTTTTTTTTTTATCCTGATATGGATATAAAAATACAAGGTGTTGACGAATTTCGAAATAGCCATCCTTTTGCGTTTATCGTCTGCGTGAAACGAAATCGTCCTTCCTTGCTACTCACCAGAACATAAATATCAGACTCGAACCAAGGTTATTCAACTGAAATATTTTATGTTTTTCCTTCAGCTTTTAGCGGTCGGTATAAAAAAATCTGTGTCGCGCTAACATTTCGGCGACGATGAAACGTGTACCTGCACAAGTATCAAATAAAACCTATACTGCGAATGATTTGAACTGTTTAATCGAATATCATAACAATTGTTTTTCTTATCAACATTAGTTACGAATAGTGTTAGGATGCTTATGGAATTGCAAATTTTTTCCTGCTGATCCAATTTAATGTGGTACTGGATACAAATTTAATTCGTGTTCCACTGTATCAAATAATCCTATTTTTACTTTGCATATCTTTGAATAATTTATGGTTTTATATTTTAAATGCACATTTCAGTAAATTTTCGAACTTTTTTAAAAACATTTTAAATTAATGGTTTGGTAAAAATTATGAACTATCGAACCATATAATTGTGTTTGTCGTGAATATTTTTAGATTTAAATATGATCAAAAAACTATTTCACCATGTAACATTCATATTGTAGAGTAGTTATAATAAGTATTGAAAAAATGTAGTATATAAAAATTATGACTAATAAAAATTAAATACTTATAAATTATTATACATTATTTTATTTTTGATAAAATAAATATAATAAATTTTGCTCTGCATATTTTAGTGTTTTTAGCTAAATGCATATTTTATGTTTTTTGTACATATTTGGTAATTTTTTAGTACATAAATGCCTACATATTACAATCATCTTAAGTACATTAATATCAGACTGGTAAGTCAGAAACTCATAACTTATGAGTTTTTGATATACCTACGAGTTATTTATGTGGTAAAAAGGAACATGCCAATCGCTTTTCTAGTTTTATATATTATGCGTGTTATGAAAAAATATCAATAACATCTTGTTTCCCTCTTTTTATTCATTGAAGCTTTATACACAATAATACATTATAGTAAATTCATAATATTATTTAATAAACATACTATAATATTAATATTATACCTAATATAATACATTTTTAACGGTGAGATTGAAAAATTATGAAAATAACCAGTTGGTATTGGAAAGGATTTTGAATACATATTATTTTAATAACAGTTAATTTCATGGTTTGGTTATATTATAATCGTTGGAAACGTATCAAAACCGTTTCAGTAATTATCAGAATGTTTATTTAAAATATATTATAAAAGTGTTATCTGCAACACCCTCCAAGACTGGTTATATAATATTCAGCTCATTCCCGTCGAAAGTTAAACATAAAAACGAAATGAGACCATAATAAACAAACGGCATTTCTTATAAAAAATATATGAAATGTATTAGTTAAAATAATATTCGTACTTGAGTGTTTAATATTAAATTTGCATACACGCAAATTCTCTAAAAATCATAAATCACTTGTTATTAATTGTCTCAGGTGTCAATTCAATGAAACCGTATAATTATACAAAAATGCTTTTCCTTATTATTATTAATAATTTTTATTACGATTTCTGTATAATTATGAATTATAATTGATACTGGTGTACCCGCTCGTCATAAATCATCATAAATTACAGTGTGTAAGAACGCGCGGAGTACGTTATTCGCGGAGTAACATGTTTATCAAATATTTATAGGTACGACGGTGTACAAATTTAATTACGAATCCAATGCAAAAAAAAAAAAAAAAACGTTACGTAGCTTAAAATTTCAATTACGTTAGCACAATTCGCATGGATACCACTCTGATCACACCGGATTTTCAACAACAAAATCAATACCTACTATTTCTGCGTTGTCCGGTGAGCGTACTCGACAATACTTGCGCGCACGTACAAAACGGTTCTTCGTATGACTATTTCGATTTGTTCAACAATTCGTCCCTTGGTGATCTGTTTCTAGGTGGACGGTTCGTTTATCGATTATCTGAACGGAGATCACCGGCATAATAGTTTCAGGAGGCATCCGAACCGGGGACCGTGTTGTCACCTTGGTCCGTCACGCGTTGCCCGACATAGCGAAAGCTGCCTGCGTCACGTCCATCTGTAGAACAACTTTAGGCGTGTCCGAGTTTTTTTTTCGCAGAGGGTTCAACCTAACCATAATAATTCTTATCAGCTCAATAAGGTTGACCGAATATAGTTTAACCGGTCTTTCATTAAATGAGTATACTCAGGGATCATTTGCAAAAAATTAAAACAATCCTAGGACTTTTTCCGAGACACCTTTTAAATACAGGTATATCCATTTTGCTATCTTAACGTATCCGACGAGATATTTAATCTGGACAACCATTTTACCTTCAATCGTGGTAGTGATATAGGTAAATAATTACAGGATATCCGTATTATCATATTTATATACATTAATAGATAATTATGCGGATTCACGTTGGTTTTGCAAAAAGTTGGTATAAGCTTGCGGCAGTGATCGCTTCATCTCGCAGGGGGTGTAAGTGCATACTCTGTCACCCCCGTGGACACGCCTATGAGAACAATAGTTTGTCGTTCACTTACACGGGTCGGAACACCGTCGATTGCCGTCACGAACGTTGCGTTCGTTATTGGAAACGAGAACGGTTCGCGGTTGTAAGAAATCGGCTCCGTCGACCACAATTAGGTACACTTAAAAGCCGACATTGATTCTTTTTTCGGGATTCTCACGCGCATCGATCGCACGTCGACGGACGGAATATTGACAGTTTTCGTACATGCGACAACAATAACGTGCTTCGCTCCGGTACCATTTTTTTACGCGCGCAGGTAAATACGGTTTTTTACAGCCCGTTCCGATCGATTTAAACGCCTAACGACCCGTGGACGTTCACCGCGTGAACAACAGTACAGCCCAGTGCGCACGTATCAAACAGACACAACACGGGTGCTTTAAATGCACTACAACCGATGGCGTACGAACAATTTTTTGTGAGGGGAGTGACATCATAACAGTTTTTTTCGTAAATCAGTGTAAGACGGTTAAAATTAAATTGTTATCCGTTATATTATCTTCTTATTGAAAAATGTGGTTTCATTAATCATAAACCATACGATAAACTTCCTTCTTTTATTTGCCAATTCGTCGATTACTCCATTGGTAGCAATATTTAAATCTGAACGAATCGATAACATGTCATTTTTCAAAAAAAATGCGATCTTCATCCAACTGTTTCCACAATTAGTAGACAACAATTCTCTGTGAACTACAGCGATATGCATTATTATGTGAAGTATTCAATGCGGTTTGTCTTGCATAGTCAAATACACCAGTATTATTTTAAGTAAAAATAGAATATAGTTTTATAAAATTAATAAAATTTATAAATTTTAAAATATTTCCTTTATTCAGATAACAAAATTAATAAACTTCAAATTGATCGAAATTTAACTAAATTTGAGGACTGGAGATTATCTTGGGGGAAACCCCCGAAACCATCCCCATAAATATGCCACTGACTAAATCGTGTGGGTTCTCGCGATCGGAAACTTTGATCCGTCGAACGCGTATTTTAAACTGAACGAATGCGAGCGGGCGGTACGTGTGTTCCGCAATAAGAATAAAAATTGTCGTTTCG